AGACTCATCCACGACCTCTGACACTAAACTCTCCTCCTCTTGCATGTTTCCTCTGTCCATAGTGTTCCGTGACAGTGTCATTTCTAAAGGCCAATTTATGCTCCTGACACGTAGTCTCTGTGTGCGACCACGTCCCCGTGTAGAGGTCCTGTAATCGTCGTTGCACACTTCAAAAAAATCCTGACTACGCATTGGACGGTCACAAACCTGCGCAGACCTCAAGCGGAAGTGTGCAGATAAAATGCAGCTGTGATTGGTCCTTGGTCTGTCTGTGTGGTCGTCCTTTTTAATCTGTCTTTTTGCCAACTCCATTTACAGAACCTGTTCTTCTTTGACGCCTAGCAACTCTAGATCCATCTCAGTGACCTTGGTATGTTGCAGACGTGCCATTGTTGTTTTGGAAGATAAACACTCCCGCCGGCGCCGCCGAAGTTCTTGTTACCATCTGCCGAAGTTCTTGCGAGTTCTTGACTAGGCTGCTCCTTGCGCTTTGGCCGGAAACTGCTGTGTCCCTAGAAAAACCAGACCGACTGTGCAGAAGAATACCAGCAAAACTGGTTCGCGAACAGACTTTGATATGCGTGGTTGCAGAAGCATAATTGGCCTTAAGTCACCAATTTAGTTCTACTTGGTGTAATTTCCTATTGGGAACCTACTTACACCAAGTTGCTAACTGGTTAGCAACTGGATGCTTCGGAGAAACCTTCCACAACCAAACTTACTTACGAAACTTACGAACCTTCCGCCAAAACAATCCCGCCCCCTTGATAAATGACCAATCACATTCACTTTATTCACTAGTGTAAAGTCTGGCACCACTCAGGAGAAATCAGAAATGCAACGGTTGGAACAGCCACTCTCCTACGACTATAAGGCTGCCAGCTAATGTGTGGCGCCAGAGGAGCAGTCTGGGGTTAAGGGTCTGGCTCAGGAAGCCGGAGTGGCAACCTGTGGGGCTCCAACTCAGAAGCTCAGGATTCCAAGCTCTACGTACTAACCACTAGACCGCCACCTCCCCAAAGAAATACGCACCCCCTGGAGAAGGAGGCGGTCAATCCAGTGGCTGGAAGTTGGAGGGGATTTCGCTGGGAGTTGCAAGGAAGTTGGCTGCCATTCAGCTGGCATTTGACTTGGAAGGGCTATTTTGAATGGCTGCTACTGTATAGACTGAAAAACATGCTTTAAGCTGACAGAACAACCCACTTAGAGCAGCAAATACATCAAAATTGTTAAAAAAATATATAAAGATTTTGCATTTCAGATAAAAAGAAACGCACTCTCCTGTCAATCTGCTCTATCCAGAACTCATCAAAGGGAAAGGTTTGCTTCCCGTGATGTAATTTTGTAAAAAAAAAAAAAAATCTTTGGATATCCAATTATTATTCAGCAAAATATATTTTAAATTGTTAGTTGCAGCCCTAGTTAATATTAAAAGACCTCTGCAATTATCATATTTCTCTTCCCTTTTCTAAACTGTTACCAAATGATGATTAAAAAAAAACACCAGACATGTCTGATTGGCCTGACTAAAGGTGGCAGAAAAAGAATGGGTTTGTGATGTTGGATTGCATTTATTTATCTTTTCTTTACCGTATTTCTTTTCTATGTAAAATCCTGAGTTATTGAGTCCTTCGTGACATTAAAAAGGTTGAGAAATATTCCTGTGCATCAATCCACTGATCTCCAAGTGCGTTTAAAGCGTTTTCCTAAACTCTGAAAAACCTTCAGCAGGGTTTTAATATTTATCTAAATAATTTGCTGTTTTCTACAGTTGAGCAAAGAAAGATTTCCCTGATCTGAACTCCACATCCTAAACATAAAGGTCCCCTCTGCTTTGATTAGAAACAAAAACAGTTTCTGTGCAGGATTGCTTGCTGTTTTCCTGTTAGTCTCTAAGTGCCAGGTGGCCATGTTTGGGAGGCTAAGCGGCGGAGCATATTCTGCACCAGGCGGATGGTAATTACCAGGTGTTCAGCCTTGGCAGCGGCTCTGCGTTGGATGTTGGTCACCATCGGATGTGTTTACATGTTTTGATGCGTGTCTCTATGGAACGTAACGCCCCTTCTATCTCTGCTTCCCTTCAGCTTTTTGAACTGCTGGGACCGGAGGGCCTGGAGATGATCTCCGTCCTGCTACAGCGCAGGACAGGGATCGTGGACGCCTTCCTCTCCGTTCCAGATGAAAGGACTGTTTACGCTCCAGGTGAGAGAACAACATGGCAGCTGTTCTTATTGTTTACAGGAAGTTTTGCCGCCAACAGTGATGCGAACCAGTTTTCTTCAAAGAAGTCCTGCAGTGGTAAATGGATGTTCTTTTTAGTATG